CCCCTCAGCCCCGTGGACTCCACAACCCCCCCGGCCCTGCCCCCACCCCCCGGGGGCATCAGAGGGTCCCTACTCAGCAGGCAGGGGCAGATGGGCCAGGGGGTCCTGAGGGTCTATTGGGCAGTATCGGGGGGCTCTGGGGAGAACTGGGGGGTCCTGGAGGATATCAAGGGGTATAGGGCAGTCCTGGAGAGTACTGGGAATATAGGGGGGGTTCTGGGATGTCCAGGGGGTCTGGGGGTCCCCGCACCTCGAAGTAGGTGTCGATGAACTCGGAGACGATGTGTTCAGACTTGGGCTTGTTCTGGCAGTAAACCACGTACATGTGCAGACGGCGCTCCTGCGGGGCCAGGAGTGAGCAGGACACCAAGGGGTATAGGGCAGTCCTGGAGAGTACTGGGAATATAGGGGGGGTTCTGGGATGTCCAGGGGGTCTGGGGGTCCCCGCACCTCGAAGTAGGTGTCGATGAACTCGGAGACGATGTGTTCAGACTTGGGCTTGTTCTGGCAGTAAACCACGTACATGTGCAGACGGCGCTCCTGCGGGGCCAGGAGTGAGCAGGACACGCCAGGTGTGCGCAGCCCCGCACCCCTGCTACACCCGTGTGGTCCTGCACTCCCGCTGCACCCCAGCACCCATGCAGCCCACACAGCCACAGGCACCCATGGGGCCCTGCACCCGCACTACACCCCAGCACCCGCATGGCCCCGCACCCCCACGCATGCCTCCACTCACGTGCTGGATGAAGAGCTGAGCCAGGCGGTCGGGATCCTGCAGACACTTCTCCAGCTCCCCCATGAAATAGCTGGGGGTGAGGGTGGGATGGGGGTAAAGATTGGGGAGGACACCTTGGTCTCCCCCAGCCCCATGGGCAGCCCCTGCCCCCCTAGGATGCCCCTCAGTTCTGACCCACATCCCCTGCCCCCTGCCAGCCTTGCTGGTGCCCCTCACTCCCGACCCACAGCCCCCTGCCCCCCACAGCCCTGCCAGTGCCCCTCACTCCCACTCCTCACCCCCGACCTGCATCCTCCTGCCCCTCCCCTGTTCAACTCACTCCTTGTGCCAGTCGTAGATCTGGTGGATATTGCCAAAGACAATCTGGTCCTTGCCTCGCAGGTCCTCGGGCACCCCCCGCACCCGCATGGCCGCCATGTAGCCCTGGGAGGGCAGGGGGGTGTCAGGGAGGGGTCACACCAGCCCCCCCCAACCACAGAGCGGCAAGCCGGGGGAGGGGGGCATCTGGGCTGGCCAAGGCGGCCAGTGAATGAGAGGGGCTGGGACCCACAATGGGGAGGCCAGGGAGCAGGGTTTGGTGGCAGAAAGGTGCAGGGTTCTCCAGGGGCAGGGATCATCAGGGCACACCTCCACAATCTGGCCCAGATCCTCCACGTACATCTTCTCCGTCTCGATCAGCTCCGTGAGCACGAACCTGGGGGGTTGAGGGAGCTGTCACTGCTGGGGGTGCCTGGCAGGACCCCCACCCCAGAGGTCTCCAGGGCACCCTCCCCTTACATGCCCCTCACTTACACACTGTCCCCCCCACCCCCGCTTACATGCTCTTCTCGAAGGCAGCCGCCTGCTCCTCCTCGCTGCCCAGGCCCTCGCTGGGGGGGGGCATCTCAAGGGGGTCACCAGGCTCAGGGCAGGGGTCGGGGTCCTGGGGCGGGGGGGGCGGAGAGACCCACTGAGATGCCAGCTGGGGGAGGCGGCAGCTCCCTGGGGCCACTA